TAACCCGGTTTCTCTAATCCATTTTGAGGGATTAACATCACTGTCTTCAGGAGGGCAGTGCTCCCTGATTCAGTTGTCTCTCAAAGGCCCCACCACCTCAGTACTGTTACACTGGAAATGAAGCTTATAGCACAGGAGCTGTTAGGGACCACACTTAAAACATATCCAAAGCAAAGGTGTTAACTTTCAGCTCAAGCTGGAAGAAGTCAAAGATGTAAATATGTGACTTTTTCTTTCTTTTCTCTTCTTTTTTTTTTTAAACTAGAGACTAGAATACATCTCTGGAGGGTGAGTGGGAGACTCCCTCAGTTCTGAGGGAAGGCAGCACAGGTCTTCCCTGAAGGCTGTGGGTAGCACACATGAGAACATAAGTGCTTTCTTTATATTCCAGATGGAAATATAACATATATATATATATATATACTTCCAAGTGATTTGACATGGCTGGGCAGGGAAGAATTAAAGGATTGCCAGACATCAAAGAGAACCCATCTTCAGGTGGTAGAGCATCAGTTTCAGTCTAATGGTTGGTCTGACTTCTCAGTGATAGGACCCACATTAGATATGGGAGCGTGTAGATGGGGCAGAAGAACGGGTTGCTTCATAAGGGCAGGACTGTGTCTGCCACCTTCATTTGTTTCCCGGTTTCCTTTCTCCCTACCCCTGCCTCCACAGCACATATAACCTTCTAACTTACAAATTATTTATTGGGTTTATTGCCTTATAGGTATGTGTTTGTTCACTGACATTTTCTAAGCCATTAGAACACTGCATGGCACATAGTTGGTGCTCAGTAAATATCTGTTAATAAACATTCAATGAATGAATATGTTTATGAATTACCATTTATCATTTCCTCAACCAAAAAATGCTGTTTAACATACAGGACGGTTCGTGCTGACGCAGGTTTGTCCACGTGTAAAAAAATAAAGTTGAACCCCTACCTCACACCACATGCAAAATAAAAAAAAATTTGGGAATACTGAAGACCTAAATAATCATTAAAAACCTCAGGATAGAATCTAGGAGACTACATGAACCATCTAGGACCGGAGGAGACCTTAAGCTGAGACAAAAATTCAGGAACCATAAAAAGAAAGAGCTGTATTTTCAACAATATGAAAACCTTTTTAAAATTGCAGGGCAAAAGTTGCAAGAGATCAAGTTAGGGTTAGTCAGTGTAGATCTAAAATGGGAAAATGACTCCAGGAAAAAATAGGGAGAATACTGGACCACATCAGCACAGGCAATAACTTAATCAATGGAACTCTTACTGCTCAGCAGTTAAGAGAAAGGACTGACAAACGGACTGCATGAAGCTAGAGAGTTTCTGCACAGCAAAGGAAATGGTCACCAGATTGAAGAGAGCCTACAGAATGGAGAAAATCTTCGCCAGCAATACATCTGACAAGGGATTAATAACCACAATATACAGGGAGCTCAAAACTAGCCCCTCAAAGAATCAACAACCCATTGACTAAATGGGCAAATGACCTGAACAGTTCTCAGAAGAAGTACAAATGCCCAGAAAATGTATGAAGAAATGTTCAGTATCCTTGGCCATAAAGGAAATGCAAATCAGAAAGACATTAAGATCCCATATTAAGATTATTGGCTATCTATCATCAATAACACAACAACAAATGCTGGTGAAGATGTGGGGGTAAAACACATACACGGTTGGTGAGAAGGTTAGATTAGTGCAACCACTATGGAAAGCAGTATGTAGGTCCTTCAGAAAACTAAAAATAGAGCTACCATATGATCCAGCAATGCCACTCTTGGGCATCTACCTGAAGGAATGTGCTCCAAGATACGATGGAGTCACTTACACACCCATGCTTATCGCCGTACTGTTTATAATAGCCATGCTTTGGAAGCAGCCCAGATGTCCCACAACTGATGAATGGACTAAGAAAATGTTAGCTGGGCTCTGGTGCCTCACGCCTGTAGTCCTAGCTACTCAGGAGGCGGAGATCAGGATTGCGGTTTGAAGCCAACCCAGGCAAATAGTTCATGAGACCCTATCTTGAAAAAACCCGTCACCAAAAAGAGCTGGTGGAATGGCTCAAGGTGTAGTCCCTGAGTTCAAACCCCAGTACTGGAAAAAAGAAAAAGAAAAGAAAATGTGGCATATATATATATATACTCAACAGGGTTTTATTTAGCCATAAAGAAGAATGAAAATGTTTGCAGGCAAATGGATGGACTAGAGAACATCATGTTAAGCAAAGTAAGCCAATCTCAAGAAGTCAGAGGTCACATGTTTTCCCTACTATGTGGAAGCCAGACCTATAAGTTAAATGTATATATAAAAACATATCATGTATATATACATACACACACACACACATATATACACACATACATTTATATAGTGAGAGAAAACAAGATTATAATAGTGAGTCTATCTAAGGGGCTACTGGAGGCAGGAAGGGAAAGGAAAATGCTAGAGAATGGAAAACATTGAAAGAACCCATCTGTATATGAATATAAAAGAACATAATGTACCATAAGCTGCTGAATATTAGGGGAGCATAGTGATAGAGAAAGAGTAAGGGCTGGCAGAGTAGCTCAAGTGGTAGAGTGCCTGCTAGCAAGCCTTGCAAGTATGAGGCTCTGAGTTCAAACCCCAGTACTGCCAAAAAAAAAAGATTTATGAGAATGAAAAATTGCAAAAAGGGGGTGGGGGCAGGAGGGAGAAATGACCCAAGCCTGCACATATGAATAATAAAACAATTAAAAAAAAAGAGTAAGTAATAGGTGGGTTAATTTGATTGAAGTACAATATATACAGGTCTGAAGTGTCAATGTAAAGCCCCCTTGGACTATCAGTATACACTTTTATTTTTAAAAAAATGAAGAACAGGAGGGTAAACCGGGTCTTTTCCAGGAGTAGGTTCCAGTGGGAAGAGGGTAGGTATAAGGAAAGGGCAAAAGGAGGGTGAATATGGTGAATGTATTTTGTATTCATATATGAAAAAAATGAAACCTGTTGAAATTGTTCTATGAAGAGGAGGAGGGGAGAGAACAATGAAGGGGTAAACATGGCTAAGATACATTGTAAGCACATCTGTCAATATCTTAATGTATCCCCCTGTACAACTCTTATATGCTAATAAAAATTAGAAAATAAAAATAGGCCGGGCTCCAATGGCTCACACTATAATCCTAGCAACTTGGGAGGCTGAGACAGGAGAATTGTAGTTTGAGGCCACTCCAGGCAAATAGATCTCAAGACCCCATCTCAAAAATAACCAGAACAAAATGTACTAGAACTGTGGCCCGAGTGGTAGAGTACCTGCTTTGCAAGAGTGAAACCTTGAGTTCAAACCCTAGTCCCACCAAAAAAATTATAATAATTTTTAAAAATTAAAAATCATTATAAAATAAAATTGCATGGTAAAATGTGCAAGAGATCAAGTCAACCAGCAAGTGACAGGACGGGAAAAAATTTGAAATGCAGATATTCTTGTATCTCTAATACAAGAATCAAAGAATTCTTACAAATTGATAAGACAACATAATTGGAATTGAGTCAAAAGATAGGCATACAGGTTCACACAAAATCAAATTTAAAGGACCAATAAGTAAAGGAAATCATACTCAAATTTACCCTGAGAAGTGGAATTAAAGTACCAGTAAGTTAGGGCTTGGCAGCATGGCTCAATTGACATAGTGCTTGCTTGGCATGCACAAGGCCCTGAGTTCAAACCCCAGAATCACCAAAAATAAAGCCATCAGACGTTACCAGTGAGTTACCACTTTACATTTGCCTGAGAAAAATGAAAACAACCAAAGTGTCTGTTGCTGGCAGGATGTGTGGAGAAGGGTATTCTTCTGCAGGCTGGTGGTAGCATAGCCTTTTTGGAAACCAGTCTGGTAATAACCACCAGAATTTTAAAATATTTAACTTTTTGATTTGCAGTCCCCTACTGAGAATATCAGAGAAATTAAACCACTATTTTGTAGTTAGAGCTATAAACAAATGTTTATTGCAATATTATTTACCATAGCAAAAGACTGGGAACAGAAAGTGAATGTTCTTCCATTAGGGAATGATTGAATAAATTACAGCATCATTCTTACTGTGGAATATATGCAGCATTTAAAAGAATATTTTATCGCTGTGGAAGTTGGTTTGAAAGGCTTTCTATGGATATTTGGATGTAGAAAAGGAACATAAGGGCAATTTTATTTTAACACCACTAATGACCAAAAAATAAAAACATTAAATGTATATGTGTTGTTATGATGACTACATACATAATAAGCATGGAGAAAAACACTAGCTAATTATAGGAGTTACCTGAGTGGTCCTAATGGTAAAATGGGAAGTGTGGAAAAGAGAAAGCAAATCAAAAGGAAAAAAATTACCATGCTGAAAAAACAAAAATGTATGTTAAAATACTATTCATGTAAAATGATGCCTGTGTCTGTAAAAATCCATGTGAAGTTAACCTACAGATCTATGTATGAGCAAGTTAAAAATCACATAAATTTTAAGGCAGTGTATATAATAGGATTCTATTTAGCTAAAAACAAAACCCAGACACGCCTGTGGTACACATATGCATAACTGACAACATGGACTAGCAGGGCCCCAAGAGGTCTCCCTCTTGTCTGTCTCCTCCTGGGGAATGGGCCAACAGAAGCTCGATAGGTGAGGAAAGAGCCAGTCTTTACCTTCATCTTGATGGTGTATTAGCCAGCAAGAGGCCAGCTGTGTGGATTTGGGCTGCTTAACATGGGAAAGGGAATGAGAGTCTAAAAAACTGTGGGGCTTATGGAGAATAAACTTTGCAACTATTTTAACTTGACTCTAGTTTGTATTGGTGTTCAAGGCTATAAAGTGTCCAGAAAATTCTGTCTACTCACCATCAACTCTATTGCATTTTTTGTAGGGTCTCTATAAAAAAGAACTATTGGAATATAAATTCTAGTGTTGTGAGATCCTGGACAGGTAGCATGACTGTTCTGTATTCTCCCCTCCCCCTCAGCACATGACGGCATCGTGATTAAGATTGAGGTGCAGACCAACGACGAGGGCTCAGAAAGCTTGGAGACGCCAGAGCCCCTGATGGGACAAGTAGAGGAACATGGCTTTCAGGACTCAGAGTTGGGTGACCCCTGTGGAGAGCAGCCAGACTTGGACATGCAGGAACAGGAGAACACGCTGGAGGAGTCCACAGAAGGCTCCAGTGAGTTCAGTGAACTCAAGCAGATGCTGGTGCAGCAGAGAAACTGCACAGGTAAGTTCTGGGTTGGGTAGGGGAGCCCCATGGGCCCTGGCTTGTGGGAATGCTGAAGTCCTTCCTTCAGGAAGGTAGCTGGACAGTGGCATGCACGGTGGACAGGCATGAAAGAACCCCAGGCAAGGCCACCTGTAGGTTTCCTGCCTCAGCATTTATTATAATCCATCTCCCATGTAAGAAAGGTGCCATATCAAAGGCTGGTTCAGACAAGGATGTAAAGGGATCTGACAGATCATGTATTCACTGCCCCTCCCCCAGCCCCACCATCCTACAAGGAGACAAGGTCAATCAAACACATTTTTCAGGGTTACACAGATAATGGCAAAGGCAAAGCTATAACTGCCTTCTCCCAAAATGTCCTTGATTGTCTTATGACACACTAGAAGCCTCAACTAATTTGAAGATTTCAACCCTGGAGAGCATGTTTTTAAAATGACTATTGTACTGTCTTTCTCTGGTAGACTCTTGTTTTTCTTTTTGTTAATTACAAAAAAGAGTCATCATTTTGCTCCCTGACACTCTTTCTGAGTAGAAGAACAGCATGACAGAGGGCTCTAAGGACATCTTTCATGATGGCTTTTCTGGTCCTGGATGACAGATTTTTTAATGAACATTTTATTCCAGAGTTTTACAACTTGATTCACAAATGAAATTAACCTGAACTCTTATTTTCTTGAATCATCCTCATCTGGTTTTAGAAACAATATTCTAAGCTTACTAGGTAAACTGGGCAGCTTTTGCTGTCATTCTGTATTCTGAGAAAAATGTGTTAAGATAGGAATTATGTTCCTGGAAAATTTGGTAGAACTCAGGTTTTTATTTTTGCTTAAATGTTTAATTTATATCTGCTTCATTAACTATCAAGTATTTGTATGAAAAAAAAAGTGTATGTTACTTTTAACATTTAGAAACATGTTAGTATCTAGTTATTTAGGTTTTTCATATTACTGTGTTGATTTAAGATTTTTTTTTTCATTTTATCTGTAGATAAGGCAAATTGCAGAGGCTTAGGCTGGCCTTGAACTCAAAACCCTCTGCCTTAGCCTCCTAAATGTTGGGATTACAGGTGTGCACTACCATGCCTGACTTAAAATTCGCCTTTTTGTACTTAATAAAATATCATGGGCATCCTTGGCCAAGTTATCTGACTCTTTATTTTGAAGTAATTGCATGGTATTTCAGGAGTCTTTTTATAAAAGAATAATGAGAAGACAAAAGGCAAATTCTGAGTACATGCTAAATTGGAAGCATCATAAATTCCAGATTACCATTTGAGCATTCCCCAGTTATTATAGTAGAACCTTAGAAAACTCCTAAACAGTAGTTTGTGGAATTTTGAGTCTTGAATTTTAGAGCCAAATGTTTCATTTTTATTTTCCATTAAGAAAAAGGCAACTTAAAAAAAAGAAAGAAAAAAGAAAAAGGCAACTTTAAGCTGGGTGCCAGTAGCTCACACCTGTAATCCTAGCTACTTAGGAGGCAGAGATCAGGAGGATCATGGTTCAAAGCCAGCCTGGGCAAATAATTCCACGAGACCCTATCTCAAAAAAAAAAAAAAACCTTTCAAAAAAAAGGGCTAGTGGAGTGGCTCAAGGTGTAGGCGATACTGAGTTCAAGCCCCAGTATCACCAAAAAAAAAAAAGAGAAGAAAAAGGCAGCTTTGATGCTGAAGGACAGTTGCTCCCCTCAAGCCCATCTTTTCCCTTGGCTTTCATGCACAGCACTGTGTTTTCAGGGTAAACACCAGGCAACCAGTTCCCAGTCTCTGCAGCTGTCCCTCACCTGAACTTCTAGGCACCATGCTCCAAGGATGTTCTGGATCACTTCCTGCTGGGAATCGTAACACTGTAGAGCAGCCTTTACTCAGCACTCCTGTGTCCCATTTTTAACACTGCAGTTTACAGGTTCTAGAGGAGCAGTGGAGCATGCTGTGGCCGAGGAGCCACTAATGACTGCGCAGACCTTGGCCAGGTCACAGACACTGCTAGCCTCAGTTTTGCTGTCAGGGGGTAAATGAGATAGTTCAGGGACTAGCTCTGAAAAGGGTGTAACTTTTTACTTTACTTGTAAACATCACTTGGTATGTCTGGGCTGGGGTCCCTCCACCTGTAAAATGAGAATGCTGTTTGTATTCATCCTCTGCTAAGTTACTGTGCTCATGAAAAGAGGACAGGTGTGAAAGTGCTTCAAATAAGTTCTTGTTTGAGCCACGTGCTGGTGACTCACGCCTATAATCCTAGCTACTCAGGAGGCAGAGATCAGAAGGATCTCAGTTCAAGGCCAGCCTGAGCAAATCGAGAGACCGTATCTTGAAAATACTTGACAAAAAAATGCTGATAGAGTGGCTCAGGTAATGTGATTCTTGCATAGCAAGAATGAGACCCAAAGTTCAAACCCCTGTACCATCCAAAAAAATTCTTGTTTATAAGAATTCTGCAAGTGCAGACTTTTAACCTTGCTTGTCTCTTAGACACATTCAGAGGAGTGACTTTTTCATGTTGCACAAAATCAGTAACTTAAAGCCCCCACTTAACAGTATTCAGTAAGTACAGGTCACTTTAAATAAATTCAGATAGGAGTCAGAGGCCACTTTTTCTCTTAAACTTACATTCTCAGGGGCCACTGTAGAACTTGGCATTGTTTAGGCCCTAAAGTGTGTGGGAGAGGGTTGGTACCTACAGTGGGGTGTGCAAGCACTGCACTCCAGAATTTGAAGGAAAGGCAGAGAGAACCCATCTGATCCTGGTTCAAGGCTGACCTTGAGGCTGGTGCCTGACTATGCAGTGGGGCTCGGCATCTCTGAGATGTGTGGGAAGGCTGAGTGCCTGAGTGCCTGAGCCCCTGAGGAGGAGCCCAGGAGGGCTTGAGTGCTGCACATTGGGATCTCCAAGGAAGACATGGAGATTTAGAGAGGAGTGGGAAGTTGCTGGGAGGAGGTGAGTGAGGGCATAGTGAAGAGAAATGCCCAGGTAGGTTCAGAAAGGAAGAACAGTCCAGCAGGGCAGTTCGGCTGGAGCAGTCTTTAGTAGAAGATGAAGAACTTTAAGCTCCTTAGACACAGCTGGCAGAAACTCAACCTTTAACATACCCAAAAGGAAAAAGGACTATGCATTGGTTCACATACTTGGTAAGTTCAGACACAACTGGATCTGGGTGCCCCTCCACATGGGAGTTCTCTAGGTTGGTTTCTTTCTTTCCTCCTGGGTACTGCTCCCCCACCAGATTCCCAAGGTGACCAAAGGAAGCTATCTCCCGTTTCCTCCGTACAAAATGCCGAGAGGAATCTAATTGGCCCAGTTGAGGTCTGGGCTTATTCCTGAACCAAACACCATGGTCAGCCTGGGTTACACGCCCAGGGAGGTGGGGAGCAGGGATGCAGAGTTGAGATTTAAAAGGGTTCGAGCAACAATATATTCATGCAGTGCCTGTTGGTGAGGACTGAGCAATGAGTACCTAGCCAGGTTGGGGCTCTAGCCATCAGGTAATATCTTTCTTTCTGTCCCTGGAGCAGAGGGGATCGTGATAAAGACAGAGGAGCAGGAAGAGGAGGATGAAGAGGACGAGGAGGACGAGCTGCCGCAGCACTTGCAGTCCCTAGGGCCACTGTCCGGGAGGTACGAAGCCAGTATGTATCAGACCCCACTGCCCGGGGAGATGTCCCCGGAGGGCGAGGAGAGCCCCCCGCCCCTGCAGCTGGGAAACCCCTCGGTGAAGCGGCTGGCGCCCTCCACGCACGCACACGCACACGGCGAGAGGCACCACCTAGGCGAGAACCGGGGTTCCTCCAGCCAGCAGCAGAGGAACCGGCGCGGCGAGCGGCCCTTCACCTGCATGGAGTGCGGCAAGAGCTTCCGGCTGAAGATCAACCTCATCATCCACCAGCGCAACCACATCAAGGAGGGGCCCTACGAGTGCGCAGAGTGCGAGATCAGCTTCCGGCACAAGCAGCAGCTCACGCTGCACCAGCGCATCCACCGCGTGCGGGGCGGCTACGCCTCGCCGGAGCGCGGGTCCGCCTTCAACCCCAAGCACTCTCTCAAGCCACGTCCCAAGTCGCCCAGCTCGGGCAGCGGTGGCGGACCCAAGCCCTACAAGTGCCCCGAGTGCGATAGCAGCTTCAGCCACAAGTCGAGCCTGACCAAGCACCAGATTACACACACGGGCGAGCGGCCCTACACGTGCCCTGAGTGCAAGAAGAGCTTCCGCCTGCACATCAGCCTGGTCATCCACCAGCGCGTGCACGCGGGCAAACACGAGGTCTCCTTCATCTGCAGCCTGTGCGGCAAGAGCTTCAGCCGCCCATCACACCTGCTGCGCCACCAACGGACTCACACGGGCGAGCGGCCTTTCAAGTGCCCCGAGTGCGAGAAGAGCTTCAGCGAGAAGTCCAAGCTCACCAACCACTGCCGCGTGCACTCGCGCGAGCGGCCGCACGCCTGCCCCGAGTGCGGCAAGAGCTTCATCCGCAAGCACCACCTGCTGGAGCACCGGCGCATCCACACGGGCGAGCGGCCCTACCACTGCGCCGAGTGCGGCAAGCGCTTCACGCAGAAGCACCACCTGCTGGAGCACCAGCGCGCGCACACGGGCGAGCGGCCCTACCCCTGCACGCACTGCGCCAAGTGCTTCCGCTACAAGCAGTCGCTCAAGTACCACCTGCGGACCCACACGGGCGAGTGAGCGCGCGCCCCGCCGCCGCCCGGCCCCTGGACAGCTGCCTCGGCCACCGCCAGGCCCGAGCCCAGCGGGCGGGGGCGGGGCGCCCTGAGCCCCTCTGCTGTGAGCCCTGAGCCCCCACTCCCCTTCCGTCCCTCCTCCCCAGGACGCGGGATAGTGAGACCAGGTCGCTTGCTGCCTGTATCCCCGGCCTGGGGAACCCCCGCGGGCTGTTCATTTCCTTGACAATAAAATGGATGAAACCAATCAGCACGGGGGGAGTGATTTGGCTGCCGGCCACTCGAAGGGGCTGAACAGGGCCATCTAGTTGGGGATAGAACTTTTTAATTACCTTTTGGATACTGTGGTTCTATTTGATAATAATAGAGTAATTTTTAAAAGACGAGCGTTTCCTGTTTGCCATTTTTGTTTGGTTTTGAAGGGGAGGGGCAGATTAGGTGGCCCGAGGGACATGTGCTTAGTGTCAGCAGACTACTGAGTCCCTTTCAGCATTCTCCGTTTTGGGTGGAGGAGAAGCAGGTGCTTTTAAAGGAGGGACAGCGGTGACCAGCTTGAAGGAATAACAGTGTAGAGAAGGGTAGGAGCTCCTGCTGCCAACTTTCCCGTGCCCTGGTGTCCACTGGCACATGGGAACTCAGGACAGAATAGATCCCAGTTGACTAGAATGGGCAGGGAGAGTGATGGTGGGGTTTTGCATGATCTGGAAAGAGGGTCCTGCGGTAAAAGCTGGGCGCTTCCCGTCCAGCTTGCAATGTAGCTAGCAGAGGAGTGGGGTGATGGGAATGAGGAGGGGTAGGGAAGGGGTGCAGAAACCCCTGGCGCCCACCTTTGAGGTGGGCACAAATGGCACCAACACTACTCTATGTGTTGAATGCACCAAGGAGCCCTGGCATCTCTAGGTGTTTATTCATGCATTTCCGGTCACCCTTCAGCTTTTTCTCAGGAGGAGAAGCTGCGAGCATGTTACATTCCCTAGCAGTAGCCAGGGAGGATTCTGGCCGTTTGAAGAGATAGTTTGGTAGTGGCTGAGTCCCGGCTCTGCCACAACAACAGAGACTGCTGAAGCTACTGAAGCTATGACAAGCTACTTAAAGGGGCTTCAAAGGGAATCTGGAGGAAGAAAGTGACACACTATTGACTTGGGGACCATAGAGATCACCAGCTCCCTCTCTATAAAAGATGTGTAAACTGAAGTAAGAAAGGGTTTAACGTCTCCATTTACACGTAGATTTCTAAAATGATGGTAAATTATCAGAAAACAGCCACAGCAAGTACGGAGGGTCAATCCCAAGAACCAACTGGAGAGCTGGGATGGAGACAGAGCTGGGAATTCCTTTTTGTGAAGCAAGCTAGATGGACTGCAGGCCACTGGAGGAGGGCCCTGCAGGAGTCTGGAAGGGAAGCTTCTGCACTGGTGGAGTTGAGTTCAGTCAGTGGATGGGGAGGGTTTCTGTAGAAGAGAATAACGAGGAAGGCCTCACAGATGGAGCTATCCAACATAAACGCGTGGCACATAGGCTCCTGGGATGATGAAACACACCCAGCTGGAGAAAGGACTTGTGTGGGAAAAACAGGGTCCAGCTGCTGGCTTGAAGTAGACGGGTGTAGAGCAGGTGTTGGATCTAAGGCTTAAGGCTGTGGTGTTTGAATTGGATCTTGTCTGAGGAACTACTGCAGATTTTTGGGCCGGAGAGACGTGATGCCGATGAACGTCATGAAGCAGATTGGCTGGGGAAAGAAACAAGTGTCAGACAGATAGGAGAGTTCCAAGGACAGGCCACAGATGGTGGACATGGTGGTTAGGATTGAAGGAATGGCATTGGAAATGGTTCTTTTGAACACCAGGGTACTTGAAGCCCCAAAGAGATGTTAGCAGAGGTCTTTTGGAGGAACTTGGTGGAGGGCTACTGTTGTTCAAAGTCTTCACTTGTCTGGAATCAGAGGACCCAAGAGAGTGCAGAAAGTACTTAACTACAGTGGAGACCATGTGGTTGGGGTAGAGTCCAAGTTAAAGATCGAAGACAGTGACTTCATTTGTCATATAAAGTTACCAGAACTGTCGAGTGGGGAAAGTGCTTAAGAGCCTCCCCTTTCCTAGGGTCCGGATTTTAAATAATTAGCCAGTGACTGGCACCACTTATGCAGAACTGGGTTGCCAGGGGTGTCCATAGCCTTCATCCCTCATCTTCCTCTAAGCCTGCTCCCTATGCTACAAATTGTCCCTCCCCAGCTCTCCGCTGCCAACATGGTTCTCACTCTCCGCCTACTGTGATCTCTGCCTGTGATCAGAAGCCACCACCAAACAGAGGCTGGACTCCAGAGTCCAATAGATATGAATGTAATAGTTGTGCAGCTTTGGTTTTGGACAAGTTAATTAGCATCAATTTCCTAATCAAATAAGGATAATGAAGGTTCCATTGCTCTGAGGCTTAAATAACAAAAAGTAGATAGACATCAAAGACATTGGTGTGTACTAAGACCTCAAGTTTACTAATTCCATTATTAACATGGCCAATAACAGTTTAACTCAGTAAAAACGGAAGCTCAGTGGGCTAGTGTCACCTCTTAAAAGAATGAATCTCTAACGAAAGAGTTCTATCAAAAGCAGAAAATTACTGTAGTGTGAAGAAACTCAAACCAAGCAACTATATTGTGGTTCTGATGTCAGAGCGGGTGAGTTTAAAACCACCATTCAGCCCACACCAGAGTTTACACAGGTCGTAGCCCGCCTCTCTGGATTTTCTTTCGCAGTGATTTTCTTGGATGCCATTGATTTAATTAGAAAGTCAGACTTGCAAAGTCCTAAATTGTCAATTGCCATTGGCCCCTGAGGTGGTAGATCAGAAAGAATGCTGCCAATTACTGTTTACTAGGCAAGTGCTCTACCACTTGAGCCACTCCACCAGTCCGAGTGCTTCTTATTTTTGAAGACCTTACATACTGTGCTTTCATAACTCTGATGTATATAATGTGTCATTACGCCCTTTTTATAGATGAGGAGCGTTCCCAAATGGGAAAACCAGGATTTGAATGCAAGTCTTCAACTCCAAGGTTCTTTCCCTGGAACCTGGGCCATTTCACTCCAGATTTTTTTTTTTTTTTTACTTAAAATTGGAAGAAAGGGAATATATGAAGCAGAGCATGCTCTGTTTGTCTCTGATGTCAGAGCGGTGAGTTTAAAACCACCATTCAGCCCACACCAGAGTTTACACAGGTCGTAGCCCGCCTCTCTGGATTTTTCTTCGCAGTGATTTTCTTGGATGCCATTGATTTAATTAGAAAGTCAGACTTGCAAAGTCTAAATTGTCAATTGCCATTGGCCCCTGAGGTGGAATCAGAAAGAATGGCTGCCAATTACTGTTTTACTAGCAAGTGCTCTACACTTGAGCCACTCCACAGTCGAGTGCTTCTTATTTTTGAAAGACCTTACATAGTGCTTTCATAACTCTGATGTATATAATGTGTCATTACGCCCTTTTTATAGATGAGGAGCGTTCCCAAATGGAAAACCAGGATTTGAATGCAAGTCTTCAACTCCAAGGTTCTTCCCTGGAACCTGGGCCATTTCACTCCAGATTTTTTTTTTTTTTTACTTAAAATTGGAAGAAAGGGAATATATGAAGCAGAGCATGCTCTGTTTGTCAAAATGGTGAATAATAAATGAAAAAGAACTTCAGAGGCAGAGAAGATTCTAGAGTTGAAGCCCTATTGTTTCACAGCTGGTGACATTAAGAGGGTAAGAGTTGGGTTGTCTGCATGGGTCATCTGCTCCAACTCACTTGTACAGACACAAAAGGTAGCAAATGGTGCAGGTCCGGCACCTTTGGGGATGCTCACTGTCATACAGCCCCCCAGTATTTATTATGCACCACTTGTGTGCAAAGCATTGTACTGAGCTCCATGGAGAAACACAAAAAGATTGGAAACCATTGCTGCCTTGACAGCACTTAGAAGCTAGTAGGGACTTTGGGTCTATTTTATAAACTGAGCCTTTGGGTACTATGGGAAGCTCAAGCCATCAGGGAGAACTTCAGACAGCCGTCGTTGACAGAGAGGGTTTGTGTCCCCATCTCTCCTACTGCCTCTTCAGTTGGAGCAGCTTTAAGCAACTAGGTGTCTGGGGGAGAACTTAAACTACCGTTATCCCTGTTAACAGGAAGTTTTGACTTGGTCACCCATCAGCCCAAGGTCACATGGCTGGAATTTAAACTTAAGTGTATGAAACCAAAGTGTTTGCTAATACCCCATATTATATACTGCCTTACAATTTTGTCCTGGATTCTTAATTTTAAAAAGGCAAAATAGTACTCTTTTCCTCTGATATGCAGCCCTCACTGTCCCCCCGACACTGCCGGTAAGTCTGGACCAGGCTGCCCATCCCAGCGCAGCTTGCCTGCCCAGGATTGGCTGATGCTTTGGTGGCTGGAGCACCACACTAACCCCATTTTCAACTGAACCCCTCTATCCCTAGAGACTTGGAGAGGACAGCTGTCTGATAGCATTTTGTCAAAATGATAAGTGTAATGATGTGAGGAAATTCAGATCAAACCAGAGAGACAGCTTTGTTTACAGGATACACAAATACTAAATTTCAAAGAATTGAAATTGACTAGATTTAAGTTCATCTTAATTAAGAAAAGTAAGGTGGTTATGAAATTGTGACATTGCCATTTTTTCCATGGAAGGTGTGATCCAATAACTATTGAGTTCTATGATTTAATTTTCTGCAGGTAAATTATTTATACTAATCCTAAAATCTAAGATAACATTTTTTTTTCCAGGTGCTGGGGATCAAACCCAAGGCCTTAAGCATGCTAGACAAACACTTTATGACTGAGCTATATCCCCAGCCCTAAGATAAAAATTTTGTGTATGTATTTTCTGACTTGAGCTGGTAATCATCACTTAAAGTCACACTGATTTTGCTCAAAAGTAAAAATCTCTAAATTGGTCCCCACAGTTATCCCCTGGATAATTTTTTTATGCTGCTGGGGCTTGAACTCAGGGCCTTATACTTGCTAGGCAGGTGCTCTACCCCTTGAGCCATGCCCCAGCCCTTTCTGCTTTGGTTATTTTTTTAAGTAGAGCTTCACATTTACGATGGTGGGGAATCCTCCTATATATGTTTCCCAGATGGCTGGGAGGACAGGTGTGTACCACCATACCCATCTTTTTGTTGGTTGAGATGGGGTTTCACAAACTTTTTCCCTTTGCTGGCCTGGAAACTTGATCCTCCCTATCTCTGCCTCCCAAGTAGCTAGGATTACAGGCGTGAAGCCATATGCCTAGCTTCTGCCCTGAACTATTTAATAAAAATGAATGCCCAGCTAGGCGCTGGTGGCTCACACCTGTAATCCTAGCTACTTGGGAAGCAGAGATCAG